CAGGCGGGTGGGGAGAGGCAACCGGGAGCAGGATGGCCGGGCCAGGGCTAGAATTGTGGGGCAGTGACAATGCAGGGCTGCGATCCACTCAGGGATGTGTAGAAGGCCCAAGCCCCATGATTCTGGCTTTAGCCCTGGCCCCAGCCCTGCCCACATATCTTGCTCCCAGATGCTGTTCACCACCTGCCCACAGCCCCATCCCATCTGTCTGCCCACCTACCTACTCTGACCAGAGCCCCCAACTATGGAGAACCAATTGCCCCCACCACATGGCAGGTCAGCATGCTCCCCACACTGCCCTAGCCCCCCTCCCCTCAACCTACCATGCAAGCACTCTTCCCCCTATGCCAGGTCAGCAACCCACACAGCCTGCCACAGCTCACTGAAACTCCTTAAGTGGTCCTCCAGCCCAAATAATTACGCATCCCTGATCTGAACCCCATGGTCCTAATCCATGCGGGCACTAATGATGCGGACAGGAGCAGCCCTGATTGCCTGATGAAGGACTACCAAGCTCTGGGGAGCAAGCTGAAGGAGACAGGGGCACAGGTGGTCTTCTCATCTGTCCTTCCAGTGAGTGGAAGACACCATGAGACCTGCATCAGGGAGGTCAACTTGTGGCTTCAGAAATGGTGTCTCAAGGCGGGCTTCGGCTTTTTGGACCATGACCCATACTTCAGGACAAGAGACATGCTTGGGTGGGATGGGCTTCACCTCTCCCCTAAAGGTAAGCATGTGTTCTCTTTCAGGTTGACCGATCTCCTCTGGCGAGCTTTAAACTAGGCTTGTTGGGGGAAGGGGAAGATGAGGACAGAGGGAGCCACGGAACACCGAACCAAGAGCCACCCACAAGACCAGCCCAGCCAAGACAGGCAACAAGCACAAGAAATACCCAGGTAAGAGACAGGGACCCAGATAGTTCGGGGATTAGGGGGGCAGAGCATACACCTCCAAGAGGCCTTAAATGCTTCTACAGTAATGCTCGTAGTATGGCAAAAAAGCAGGAGGAACTTGCCCTCCTGCTAGCTAACACAAACCCAGACATAGTGGGGCTCACTGAAACTTGGTGGGATCCAATGCATGACTGGGCAGTGAACATCAAGGGCTATAGACTGTACAGGAGGGATAGAACAGGGAGGAAGAGTGGGGGAGTGGCACTCTACGTCAAAGAGCAATACACATCCTCAACAAACAGCACTGGGTCGGAGGAGGGGCAGACTGAAGTGCTCCGGGTCTGAATACAAGGGGTCGGGGGGGAAAGGGACTTAACGGTAGGAGTTTACTACAGGCCACCTAACCAGGGGGAAAAGCTGGACTGGGAATTCTGAGGTCAGCTCACAGAGGCAGTTAGGTCAAGGGACGTGGTCATCATGGATGACCTAAACTATCCGGACATCTGCTGGGAAGAGCAGTCAGCCAGGTCTAACCGCTCACATAGGTTTCTAGCTGAGTTACAGGACCTCCATCTAACCCAGGAGGTGCACAGCCCCATCAGGGCAAATGCCTTGTTGGACCTGGTCCTGGCCATGGGTGATGATCTGGTGAGTGGACTGCGGATTCTCGACCACTTGGGCAATAGCGACCATCGCCTACTGAAGTTCACCATCCACGCAGGGTGTGAAAGGCCTGCAGCATGACAACAGCCCTAGACTTCAGGAGGGCAGATTTCAATGAGATAAGGAGACTAGTTGGGGAGGCACTCAGGTCCCAGAGGGGAAGGGAGTTGGGAGTCGAGGAAGAGTGGTCGTTCCTTAAGGAGATGGTCCTCCAAGCCCAAAGGGTGACAATCCCAACACGGATTAAAGGGGGCAAGAGTGCTCAAAAGTCCCCATGGCTCACCAAAAGCATCCAGGAATGTCTCAAAGCTAAAAAGGAGGCGTACACCCAATGGAAGGGAGGGGCCATCACCAAGGAGGATTATACCTCTATTGATCAAGACTGTAGGGGGGCTGTTAGGAAGGCTAAGGCGGAGATGGAACTGGGACTAGCAACCCAGATCAAGGATAACAAGAAGTCCTTTTTTAAATACATAGGGGGTAAAAAGAAGGTACCGGGTAACGTAGGGCCTCTGCAGGATATGCTACGAAATCTGGTGTTCACACCAGATGACAAAGCTAACCTCTTTAACAATTTCTTTGCCATCTTTTTGAGCAGGGACCAGGGCATCCCCCCACAGCGGGATCCCCAACGGACCCAGGAGAGGCGCTAGTCAGGGAACTTCTGGTGGGACTAGACGTGTACAAATCAGCAGGTCCTGATGATCTCCACCCTAGAATGCTGAGGGAATTAGCAGAGGTCATTGCGAGACCCCTGGTACAGCTTTATGAGCACTCGTGGTGCTCTGGCAAGGTGCCAGAGGACTGGAAAAAGGCCAATGTGGTTCCCATTTTCAAAAAAAGGAGGAAGGAGGACCCAGGAAACTACAGGCCCATTAGTCTTACCTCGGTCCTGGGGAAGCTCTTTGAGAAAATTATCCAGGAGCACATCTGCATGGGACCAGCAGGGGAGATTATGCTTAGGGGCAACCAACATGGGTTCATTCGAGGCAGGTCATGTCAGATCAAACTGGTGGCCTTCTACAACCAGGTCACAAAATCCTTGGACGCAGGTGTCGCGGTGCACATAGTCTTTCTGGACTTTAGGAAGGCCTTCGACACCATCTCTCATCCCATTCTCATTAAAAAATTAGGCAACTGTGGCGTCGATGCCTACACAGTCAGATGGGTTGCAAATTGACTGGAGGACCACACCCAGAGAGTGGTGGTGGATGGCGAGATGTGGGCAGTGGGGTCCCCCAGAGCTCAGTCCTGGGGCCCGCACTGTTCAATATCTTCATCAGGGACTTGCATGAGGGGGTGAAAAGCACCTTGTTCAAAGTCGTGGATGACACTAAGATGTGGGGAGAAGTGGGCATGCTGGAGGAGAGGGACAGGCAGTGACTAGATCTAGACAGGTTACAGGGGTGGGTGGATGAGAACAGGAAGGGGTTCAACACTGACAAGTGCAAGGTACTGCACCTAGGGAGGAAGAACCAGCAGCATACCTACAGGCTGGGGAACTCCCTTCTAGTCAGCACAGAGGCAGAAAATATTCAGATCTCATATTTGAGACTTGAAGATATAAAGGTATTAGAACTGAAAACATTCTTAAGAATAACAGCAGGCTTAGAGTGGAATACAGAGCAATTTTATATTTAATTTTATAAATAATGTAAATCCATAAATAGCAACCATATTCACCATTCAGCCCAAAAATATTTCTATACTGATAGTCTACAGTAGCAGAATGTTCTCTACCACAGACTACATACTTTTAGGTCTGTTCTTCCCATTTTTAGGTGTTCACAAAGACAGATTAATTATGCCATCTAAAACCTGTCCCACTGCCAAAGTTGGAATCTGATACGGAAACAAAAGTAAACACATGAAATATATCTACTTTTCCATTATAGCTGTATTAAGCCCTGGCAGACTGAAGAAAATAATGATCAAAATGAGAAGCCCTTTCTATGACTGAAGCTTCAAAACAAAGGTGTTACGCTACACATAATTAAAGAGAAAAAGGGAAAGGAAAATTCTCAGAATGCTTGGGTGAAAAAGCCCCATCAACTATCCCTCAAAATCAAGTTATTCCACGTTGTTCCTACTCTGAACCTCAAGAGAAAAGGACTAGATTTGAACTGTTCATTAGAGCTGGTCAGGAAATCTTACACCTTTTCTTACCACAGAACAATTTTTTTCCTCAAAATATTGAAAAGGCTCAAAAGGTAAAACATTTAATTTAAACTATTTTCAGATTCAAAATGATTTATGAAAATACAAAATTACTGGTAAACACAGTTGAAATTATTCCAGAATGGGAAGAATTTTACAGGATGAAAAAAATATTTTCTGCCCAGATCATTTTATCATTTCCACAAGTTTCTGCATGCTAAACAACTAGACAGTTATTCTACATAAAATCTATATTAATGCTAACATACCATGCTTCTGTAGTGTGCCTTCCTCCGTGCCTGATCTATTAAATATTATTACAATTTTGCTTGTTTCATGAAACTATGGGAATTCATGACAGATAGCAAAAGATTTCAAAATTCACCATTTTTACATAATCATCTGCTTAAAGTCTAAATGAAGTAAAATTGTATAAATGACCTGTAAGCAAAATTACCCAAATACCATAGTTGTCTTTCTGAAGTATGAATAACCAGATCAGTGGCTCTCAACCTTCTTAAATTTAGAGCACCCCTCTTCACCTTCATTGAATTTGGTGTTACCATGGTTGAGAACCACTGTTGTGTTGCCTCACCAGTGGTTCTCAACTGGGGTGAGTCTGCTGCCACAGCCACAGGCAGGTGGAACTGCACAGCCTCACACAGTCAGACTGGAAAGGGCTGTGACAAGAACACGTGCTCCTCTCTTGCCTTAGGGTTCTCTGATAAGCCTAAAGGAGGCAGGAGAGCCCACTTGTGCCATAGGGCTTCCCCATCCAATCCCAGATGGCATCTCTCAGAAACAGAGTCTGATGGGGCACGTGGAACTGTCGTACATGCCTCTGTTTCCAGGAAAAGCATGGAGGAATAAATCAGGAAGGACTGCAGCATGAATAGGCTTTCCTTCCCACAGCAGCAAATCCTCTTAAGATCACAGAAGCAAGATCAACAACAGCCTCTTAAATATCATTAAGAAGAATATATTCAAATACAAAAAGATATCTTCAAACAGTAGCTTCATAAAATGCATTGCTCAGAATAGTTCAAATAATGTTTACTTTGTTTTATAGTTCAAACGAAAGGCATATTTTGTGCTGTTAGATTTATTATCTTGATAAGAACTAAACACTACACACAATCTTCAGAGTTTATAACATAGTAAACTGACATTCAAATCTGCAAACATTAGCAAAAAGGAGCAGCTTTAACAAAAAAAGTTTTTAAAATAGACATTTGTTTATAGGAAGGTCAAAATTATTTTTTTTATATATAGCTTTGAGTTACTTACCAGTAGAGATAGGGTTTATCTTTATCTACATTTATATTGTTTAATGGATCCATACGAAACCAGGTGTTAAGAGTAAACCCATTTTGGTAAGGCCACTTAGCAATGGGAGGCAATGCAATTGCCTAAAATAAAGAAGAAAACTAATATTAATGCTGTTATTCTGTGTTAAAAAGACTGCTATCTAAACTAAGATTTCTTAGATACCTAACTGTAAATGTGTGGATTTGCTGTGGCTGGGGCAAACGCTGTGAAAAGGTGCAAGAAAATTCTACAATTGTAGTATAAATGCATTAATTATTACTTTGTTATATTTTCTTGTTTTCAGTTCTCTATGCACATAAATCCATGGAAAATGTGAGGAGTCAGATCAAGTCAGCTATTGAATATTGCCAAGAAGTAATATTCAGAAAAAAATAGTAAAAATAAATTATTCCTGTAGATGTTAAAATTTCAATTCAGCTTTTGATAAGTATCAAAGCCATTTCCCTTAATTACGCAGGACTCTGAAGTAGTTTGCTGTGTGTAGGAGACCTTCTTAATTATTTTTCTATTTTTTGAGGAGGGGAGAAAGAAATTGTATTAGGAACAACAACAAAAACAAGAATGCTGTTAAAATTAGATGTAGTGTAATTTGATACAGTATCATGAATTCTGTCAGGAAGAGGAGGTTTTTTTCTTCATTATCGGGAAAGGCATTACTATAAATACAAAAGAACATCTTTCAAATAGCACCAAAATCATAAGTGCATGCCTCTCAAATGTCATTTATTTTTAGAGTTGTTACTAATTTCTGCAAAAATTTAGTACTGTCATTTCAATACAGTGGTACAGCAAGGGGAAAGGGTATATCAAAGATGTATGTTGCTACTGAGGAGGGTTTATCAGTTCTGGGGCAACTGATACTGATACCTCCCTATACAAGCACAGAGTAAATATGCATGAGAGAGTGGAGTATTTATCATTCTCAGGTATTTCAAATTAAGTCACAGGTTAATTTTTTAGTGTTATCACAAACTAGAGCCAACAAACTTTTTACAGTACTGCATTCCATAATGCAGGCCTGTCCAACTGGTGGCCTAGGGACTATATACAACCTACACAGGGTTAAACTGTAGACCCCAGGCTCCCATCCAACTGCTGCTCCCCCTGCATTGCTCTGGCTGTAGAAGCACCCAAGAGCTCTGGTGGGCTCCCTCTTCCGCTTGCTTCCCCTTCCCTGCCCCAGGGACAGGGCAGTGCACTGTCATGCAGGCTGCAGTGTTGGGGAAGCTCAAGAGGGCACCTGAGAGGCACAGTGCAGCAGAAGAGCCCATGATGTGCAGTGGGGAAGTAGGAAATGTGCAGTGTAGTGGGGATAGGGGCATTTAGGCATATGGTGCAGCAGGGGGACTCATGGTGCAATGGAGAGGGATAGGGGCACACAATACAACAAGGACTACACCACTGGTTCCCAAACTGTGGCTTGTGACCCCAAATGGGGTTGCAAAATCAGTGGTTGGGGTCGCAAGATTGCTGCACCCACAGCAGGGCAGAGGACTGCAATGGGACTGGATCAGCACCAGGCAAGAGCCACCTCCGCAACCCCACGCGGGACTCAGCACAGGAGGGAGTGTCACACCATCATGGCCACCAGCACCAGCAGTGGCACAGAGTTGTGCCCCTACTACTGCCAGGTGGGTAGGGGGTGCCTCAGCTTGGTGGCCATGGCAGCACGGCATTTCCTTCTGTGCCAGGTTCTGTCCACTGGGCCATGAAGCCCCTGGTGGGGGACAGCAGGGCAGGGAGCCCCAAGACCACAGCAGGCAGCCTGCATCCTCTCCCCACCACAGGCTCTGCTCCGGCCATGCTGCCCACAAGGGAGGGGATGTGGGGAGATGGGGCGGGAGCTGGGCTCCGCATTCCACTCAGGCCGCAGCAGCTACCACCTCCCACAGGCGGCAGCCAGGGCTTCGGTGCTGCTGGGAGAGGAGGGGGCTAGGGGGCTAAGGTCCCTGGCTCTGGGGCACCTGCGGGGGACTAGTGAGCTGCAGGTTGGGAGTGAGCAGCACTGGCAGGGCCAGGGGCTATGGATCAGGAGTGAGGGGCACCTGGGGAGGAAGGGGTTTCAGGTTGGGAGTGAGGGGTCATGCTGAGGAAACATTTGGGAAGCACTGGGCTACATAATGTGCAGCCCCAGGGGTCCATGACACCCACTGGTGCAGGCCCCACTAGTGTGGTCTGTGGGGCATGCAGCCCCCAGATGCCAGGAACTTGGATAGTCCTGCCATAATGCATTCTATTTATGTGGCAAATAAAGAGACTAGTTTACAAATGTTTTAAAAAGTTTCCATAAAGACTATTACTTGCTCTTTTAATATTTAAGATTTTAATAATTTATTATAGTAAGCATTCTTTTTTCATAAAAAGGGGGGACCCTAGCCATCTCTTAGTATTTACCTTCCCTTCATCCCCTATCTCCAAGAATTTAATCCTGTAAGGTGAGTGGTTCCTCAGCATTACTCCAGTTTTTTCCCACCCTCATTTTACTTTTATTGAGAGTCTCCAAGCCCAACCTAAAGAAAAAAAATTAATTGTTTCCAGAAAGAGAAGTATTTTGGTTAAACACTTACTGCAGCACTACAGCCTGGGAAGTTGAAAAAAGTATCAGGACCATGTCTCTGTGGCATCTGATTAAGGACTGACAACAGTTTAACTGCATGCCTTGGCTGTTAAAACAATAAAATTGAAGAAATGTCAATACAGCCATTTATTACAGACATTCTAGAGGCCACTTTAGCCACTGGACTGTTTTCAAACAAAACAGTCAATTAATTCTAAAGCAGTTATCAAGAAACTTTAAAAAGTCATTCAATCAACATTAAAAAATTCAACTTTATATGCCCCCAGAGGCTTTTGATGCTAACCTCAGGCACTAATGCACTGACACTTAATACTTTATCTGATCACAGCTTACCCAGATTCCATTTTCTCCTCGAAGCATGCTGAACAAAAGCTTCAACTCCTTGACAGTGATGCTGTAGCTGGCAAGAACCCCCAACATATCAACTAGAAGATCTTCAAAGGAAAATAAAGTTATTCTGAACTTTGAATTCTTTAGTTTATCAAAGCATTTTTTACTACTACAAGTCTGACAGCAGCTATTCCATTACGTTTAAAATATTTAAACCAGATTACATTACTTTCCTTAACTAGTGTATGTAACCACCAGAATGTCCAACCAACCTATTACAATATGTTCTGTTTTTAAATAAAAATGGTATTACATATCTATTTTAAGAATAAATCTTTTCAGTCTTTGAAAAAAACAGCAGATCAATGCACAACAACATAGAGTATTGCAAAACACTGTAGTATGGTAGGAACTTATAGCTCATTATTTACAGTCTTTTAACTATAACCTTTAAAGGGGCTCCTTCACCAAACTTGTAGCATGTTTTTAGTTTTTTGGAGCAAAGATGCATATGCCTCAAAGTTCTTTAGGCTGGATGTACTGCATCCCTATACATCATGGGGTTTTTTTGCAATGTTGTCTCTGCTTTGCTACCCAACATTAAAACTTCAGAATTTTCCATTTCAAGCATCAAATAAAGTAATGAAAAAAAAAAAAGAAGAGACCACCCTTCAAACAAACAATAAAATTATGCAGTGTTCTGGAACTAATGTATGATATACTGTCCACTACAGCATCTCAAAGGTAAATTACTACAAAGGTAAATGGAAGTAAGAATTTAATTTTTTTGGAATAAGTGGTGTTCAAAATTAACAAGTTCAGATCCCAGATCTTAACTAAAACTAAAGATCTGGATAATTGGTAGGATCCTGGATTTCAGTATGCTCTCTGACTTTCTTCAAAGCCTTACACTGCTAACAGCTGGGATTACTGTTACTAGCAGGAAGAAAAGTTGCTTAGCCCTTCAGAGTTGAAATACAAAAAATGATCATTCCAAGGAGCAGTTTCTGCTGGAGAAAAGGTTTAAAACGAGCCGACTAAGGCCAACTGGAACTCATATACAATACCAACTGAACATTAATGGTAAATGCCACATTGTATCTGTCTAGTTACTATGCTCAATACTACTTAAGAGAGCACTACTATTTCATTTTTTTCTTAAATGGCTTAGTTATGAATTCTTCCACAGTTCTCAGACGTGTTTATAGATGAAACACAGAGTATTCTGTATGGAAGTAAGAGATTTCATAGATAGACTGGAGATATGGTAGTTATTACAGTAAAACCTGCTGTATTCAGTATTTAAAATATATTAAAGATGAGAAAAGGTATTTCTCTGTTCTTCCTCCTCCCCTTAATTTCACTTTTCACTTATTTACAAAATGGGATTAGACACTTGTTATAACTATATGATCTTCTCATTATAAAACTTAATAGCTTATGAACCGAGTAAACCTTCAGAAAAGCTAATCAGCCATCTGTGACATGATCCTATGGAGACTGGTTAAGTATGATGCATAAACCAGGTTTGGATTAAATGTTGCAAGCAAGATTTAAGATATGCTTCTACAAGAATTTATTAACCAAAACCCAATCACAAAAAAGTTATTTTTCATTAACATATCTAGAGAAAGGTTACAGAAGTACCATTAATGAAGGTAACCTAAACGTTTGCACGTTAAGAGCCACCTTCATTTGCTTATTACTTATCACCTACTGGGCATGAACCATGAGGAGTGCTTTAAGTTATTAAATAAAACTCTTCAACTATGTTTGTGGAAGAAGAGAATGGGAAAAATAGTAAAAGTTACTTTTTTTTTTTAAACTACTTTTGCTCATCTGCAGTCTGAACAAAAATATGAAATTTACCCAAGTGCCTCAGAGCCACAGTGACCATAGAAGTTAAATGGCAGGACGGGGAAGGAGAAGGCACAGGCCACAGAAGGTCAAGTGTTCAGGGGTTGTGGGAGCAGTGACTATGTGGATAGAGCTTGCAGGGAGGCAAGCAGAAACATGGAGGAGGGCAGGCAGGGAGGGGAAAGGAGTGGGGACCCACCTGCCTGCCCCCTGACTGCTGCTTTCCTTGCCACAGCAGTGAGGTGGAGGGGCAGGGAGTGGAACAAATTTAAGACAACCCCCAATAATTAGGTTCTATACATGGAAATTTACAAATTACTGGGGGGAAGAGGAAGTATCTTAAATTCAAAGTCATTTTGGATTCAGGTACATATGGAACATAAAAACTAAGAGGTTTACAGTAAGTACCAACAGCATGACTAAAATGCAAAAAAGGTGGTGAGACTCAAGGGAAAGAAACAGTAATATGTTTTTTGGCTTTATGGAATATTCTTGACTGGAGTCATATAACTGTCAGTCAGTAGACCATCTTGCCAATCCTAAAACAAGGCTGTCTAATTTATGATAGCATGGGGCTTCTCATCGGCCAGATAAAGCACCTCTGGTAACAGGTGGTGACTTAGCATGGCTCCAGGACACAGGTGTTGAATGCTGCCACCACTACCCACACTTTCCCCTTTTGCTGGTTTGAGTCACCACTGGCAAATGAAGACTGTGAATTCAGTGGCAGGCAGGTGGTACAAAGGTGAACAGCAGCAGCATTCCCCCCTGGGTTCTGGAGCTGGGTCAACACAGCAGCTCTGGTAGCCAAGTCAACAACTCCCATGGGCCACAGTTTAAGCCCACACAGGCATGTTGCCCATGGGTAGCCAGTTGCATGGTCCTGCCACAGAATATGTTGTAGCAGAGAGCCTCCACCATTAGTCCTGTCCTGTAAATTAAACTTTTTCTCTAAAGAAAATGCTGCATAAATGTTAAAACTATCTGGCATTCACTTATGTAGGCATTTTAGTAATCTTTTGTCTGCACTGTTGAATGGCTCAACTTCTCTTCCATGGAATTATCATTATATACACCAGTGGTGCCCAACCTTTTTGCCCTATGGGCTGGATGGGCGGTGCCAGGTCTATCCATGAGCCAGATTCAACTGGTGGGTTTGATCCGGTATATTGGACTGGTGCAGCAGAGCCCTGATCTGACCACAGCGGAATGTGCAGCTCAAGCCTAAACTGCCCTCCCAGGAAAAGGGCGGAAAGCAGCCTGGACCTGATCCAGATGCACAGGGGGCAGGGGGAGATAAAGCATCCCCAATCCAGATATGTGGGGGGACAGAAAGCGGCCCAATCCCAATATGGACATGTGGAGGGGGTAGAAGTGAGGCAGAGCAGCCCCAATCTGGACACACAGCAGGTAGAGGGGCAGACTTCTGGCCCTGAGCCAGATGTTCAGGTGTGAGGAGAAAATGGGGAGCAGCCCAGCCCGATCCAGATGTGTGAGGGACAGGCCCAGTCCTGATCCTGCTGTATGGCAATGGCCCAGGCAGGGCTGGACCTGGATGCATAATGCTTCCACTCCTTGCCCACTGCCAAATCTTCTGGCCCACGAGCATCTCCATGGGCTGGATGCCATGGCTCTGCGGCTGAATTTGGCTTGCAGGCTGAAGGTTGAACACCCTTGGTATTCACAAATGAACTGAGACAGGCAGTGCTTCTGGGACAAAGATTAGAGTATCACCGGCACTCATCTAACTCTGAAGGCAATAAAAGCTTCTTTTTTTTTTTTTTTTCTTTCCCCGTCATAGCTTCTGCACAATCTCAGATAGTGAAGTGTTTCAAATGTTGGATAGCTCATGACTTACTACCACCCAAAGAGAATCAACTTTCTTCTCAGTGCAAAGTGCTTTTTACCCAGAACATATGTCAGTTCTTTGTTGATCAAAAAGTGTCTTTCTAGGTACATCTCAAAACAATTCCTGACATGCAAGAAGGATCACTGGCCTTTGCAGCTGACAAAAGCCAGCAGCAAAAATTGAGCCCATCAGTGACAGACTGTTCAAGATTTTTGGAAAAGCATGGTACCAGCTTCCTAGCACTCAGCAGTAGTTAGTCCCTCATTGTAATTTGCCATGAGAATCTTCACTATACCAAACTTCACACTCATCCTTTTTGGAAAGTTGATGGGAATGGCAGGGCAAAGCAGCTTTGGCAAGATCTAAAGACATCCAATCACCTTGAGGAGTAGTAAAGCTAAAGGACGGGGGAGGGGGGAAAAACTTCATAAGTCCTGCAGGTCTCTTATCCATTCAATCTTCCTTAATGGTCCAATGGACTTCTGTTCAGTTCCTTTTCACCATGTATGCAAGCCTTCCTGAGGAAATGGGTATCCGTTCTGAGCTGCCATGTTATCAAAATTATGACAAACAACTGTAACTTTTTTAAATCGACCTGGAAAATACAGTTTCTCCCTTTTCAGTTCCATAGGGGGAAAGATGAGAATACGTTTATGGAAGGTTTCTCAAAAATACCCAAACACCCGCCCCTCCCCCCCAAAACCAAAAAAAAACCCAAAAACAAACCTCTGAAGTGATACAGTGAGGCAGGGAAACATTTTTAGAAGAACTGATAGAATGAGTGTTCTTGCCATTCATTGATGGGGCATCCAGGACTTCTGCCAATATTTGCAACCTCAAAGTACTTTTTAATTCCCAGTCACTTCAATAAACTAGATAGAACACTATCTTGAATTCTATAATCATTAATTATACAAAAGGTTTGAGCTTCTGCCTCTAACACAGACACCACCAGAGTTATATTGAGATTGTTCGCAGAAACTACATGAAGTCCTAGGAAGTGGAAGTCTCAACTGTTTGTTTGATGGCTTTGTAGAGTTGGAATCTGTGTGAACATTGGCTGCCTGGATTTCAGGGGAGAAACAAAAAGAGTAGGGGATTATTTAATCAGAACTACATGACCTGGAACTTGACTGCCCCTTCCGTTAGGCACCACTTCAACATTTTGAAAAGTTCTAGCAACAGAGCATGTTTGATAAAGCATCTGTAGTTGCAAAACACTGTCTTGAGTTTGTGAACCTTCACTGCACGGTACAAAACACCTACTGAGCTCAAGCATTTAAACACAGAGCTCAAGAGTTTGTGGTGTTCTCTTGCAGGAACAAACAGAACAATTACAGTGACTGAGCAGGGAAGGACTTACCACCACTCAGATGAATCAACTGTAGCTTTTTCATCTGTCTGCCCTATTTTACAGTAAATGGAAGCTAAACAGCAATGATTTATTATTTGTTTCAGTCAGGGGTAAATCACAAAGTTTAGCTTTGTTTACTGAGAAATGGAAGTGAGCAAACAGGACAGCTATACTGGATCAGCTGGTAGACACTTATGAGGGTTCAAGTACTTATGTGCATGTACTTTAAAGTGACAATTTGTCCCTGTGTCCTCAGTGATGTTAAAAGTGGGTAACCAGCTCCTACTCCTTAGTAGAAATGATTTGATCTACAGTTTTGAATGATGTGAAATAAATGCTTGGACTCTGAAAAGAGTAAATAATATACTATATAAAATAATAAAAACCATAATTATGAAGACTGCAAAATGAGGTGAATATTTCACTGATGGATCTAACTTTGCCTATATTAAATACAGCTTTTTAATATTATAGCTTAATATTTTGAAGACTACTCTCCCTGAGATGCATGTGCCTGAGTAATCACATTTTCATCTCTTTTTTATACTAATCCTTTTCCATCTTCTCTGCTGATTAGATAGTAACTCTTACCTAAATTTAAGCTCTAAATTATATTTGGCAAAAACTACATATTGATATCCTCTCTAATGCACTTTGGAAAAATGTGGGCATAAATAAAATAATCATCTAGATAAGCTTTAACTGTTGGAGTTCCTATCTGATGAGCAGGGATCTGGGTTTTCTGTTTCCCATGGAAAAAAACATGGATTTTCCCCTTTTAACAGAGAAAAAAAGTGGATTTCTCATTTTAATAGAGGTACCCAAGGATTTTCTACTTTTGCAAAGAGCTTTCTCCAGGCTGGCAGAGTTCTAGCCTGCAGGAGCTTCTTGCAAAAAGGGCAGCAAACCCTAAGCCCTATCCCGAGAGCCAGCGAGAAGGGGAAGGAGCGAGGCCTGAGAGTCTCAGTCACCAGGGCTTGGTTCAGATTCACTTCCCCTCCTGGAGCCTTATTGATGCCAAAATGAACAGTGTGGGGACACAATCAGGAAGGCCAACCACACCTTGTCATGCATCCACAGATGCATCTCAAGCAGGTCCAAGGAGGTGATCCTCCCCGTCTCTGCGGCACTGGTCAGGCCGCAGTTGAAGTACTGCATCTACTTCTAGGCGCCGCACTTCAGGAGGGATGTGGACAACTTGAAGCGGGTCCAGAGGAGAGCCACTCGCATGATTAGGAGGCAGCAGGGCAGGCCCTACGAGGAGAGGCTAAGGGACCTGAACCTGTTTAGCCTCCACAAGAGAAGGCTGAGGGGGGATCTAGTGGCCTGTTACAAACTAGTCAGAGGGGACCAGCAGGCATTGGGGGAGTCCCTGTTCCCCCGAGCACTACCAGGAGTGACTAGAAATAACGGTCACAAGCTGGCAGAGGGTAGATTCGGACTAGACATCAGGAGGCGCTATTTCACTGTCAGGGGGGCTAGGACCTGGAACCAACTTCCAAGTGAAATGGTGCTGGCTCCTACCCTGGGGATCTTTAAGAGGAGGCTAGATGAACACCTTGCTGGGGTCGTTTGACCCCAGTACTTTTTCCTGCCATGGCAGGGGGTCGGACTTGATGATCTGCTCAGGTCCCTTCTGACCCTACCAACTATGAAACTATGAAACTATGAGGTAAGTGGGGCTTGTGGGTCAGGGATGCAGGGTACCTGCAGGGCTGGGAGGGCCCTGTGGGGTGGGTGCAGGCGACTGCCAGGGGTGGGGGAGGGTTGGGAGCTGTGCAAAGAGCAGGCAGTGTGGGTGAAGGGCAGGGCAGGAATGTGTATGTGGGGGCTGAGGGAGCAGGGAAGTGTTCATGGAAAACCCCATGCAGAGGGCAGAGCTAGCCCAATAGCACATGAACCAGGAGCTGTGTGCCATCGGGCCAGGCAGGAAGCCACACATGGAGGCATGGAATCATGCACCATCGGGTCGGGTGGGCAACTGCTTGCATACATGGGCAGCTTTCCACTGGAGTACTGGAAGCCCCACATGGAGGCGCGAAGCCCGCCTGGCCCGAAGATGCATGGCTCCCTCCTATAGTGCCGCGATCTGCACATGCTGGCATGGTGCCAGCCCATTCTGGCCCGAAAACATACACCAGCAGGTTGGGCTGGCTCCATGCCAGCATGTGTAGGCCCTGGGACTCAGCCAGAGATACGTGCTGCCGGGGGCTCTGCCTGCCACAGCCATGAATGCCCCGAGGGCTCGTTGCCTGCTGCCGCTGGGCAACTGGCCAAACCCCACACCTGCCCACAACTTCCATACACACCCCCACACCACTTCACAAATGCTCCCATAAACCCCATACCCACCCACAAACCCCCATGCCCACAACCTCCCACAAACCCCATACACATCCCCACAACTTCACAAATCCCCCCACACACACCCCACACCCCCAACCATACAAAGTACATGCTTATATTTCTAAAGAAGGTTCAAATAGTGCTATATTTACTTTAATTTGTAAACAATAAATAAATAAATAAAAGTAATTCATTTTGCATGATTTTGAGTTTTCCTGTGCACAATTTTGAATTTTTCTGTGTATAATTCCTTGGGGTATACAGAATGGTCTCAGCAGGAGCTTTGATTTTCCATCATGAAAAACCCAAAATCAAATGCCAAAATATATAGGTATTTAGAATGTATTTTATTATACTGATCACGGTACTGGTAGGCTTCCAAACTGCTTTAAAAGTGTAAATATATCAGTAAAACATTGTTTTCAACTGATACCTATATACATAGTGGCCTTTCATTTTCATCATGGATTTGGGGTTTTAAAGCAGAGAATTAGCATTTTGTTTCATTAGAGAATTTGTATCTTTTTTATAATAGAATTTTCAATTTTTTAATCAGAGAAAACCAGGATCCCTGTTGATAAGGCAGCTGGAATTTATGGAAAAGGAAACTCATCATGTATTAAAAAATATTATGCATACTTCTTCTTTAAAGGTCAAGTGTACTATATTAAACAGAAAACTAGAATACACAGAAAAGGGCTTACTAGACCCTGAGCTGACAGAGCTCAGATGGCTTACTGAATTCTTATTCCATTTCCTCCCAGCAAAAACAAAGAATCAAAATGTAAAACTGTTTTGAAACCCCTACTAATCATGTTTTAGAAGTGGAAACAGCCCATCTTTCCAGAATACCTAAGATTATTTTCAACCAAGAAAACTGAATAATGACTAAAGATATGAATTAAAGACAAAACACAATGGTAAATTAGAAAGATCAACTGTGCAACATTGTCCTTAACCCCCACTAGTTGCATACGTGTGCAAATGAGATATTTTGTATTTACTATCAGGAAAGCAAATATATTAAAAAACAAATGAGAAAAAAAATGATAAGCTGGTGATACAAAAATTAAAAGCAAACTACAGAGAACATGGATGTACTTTAATAGATAGGCAGCAAAATTAAAATAGAAACAAATAAAATTGATTACATTTATCCAGAAATAAAATATTCCATTCACATGAATAATTATTTCTAGTGTGCTCTCAATTTACCACATAAAGAATGCTACAATGTGAAAGTGAGCCATAACATTGTTCTTCCTTTAATCTTTCTTATAATTGGTATTATGCAGTTTCTAAATACTGTAATAATTTTTCACATACAATAATATATGTGAGAAAAGTTCTTAAACACTTTGAAAGTTGCCCTATTTTATCAAGATCCTGTTTTTCTCTTCAAAATAAATATGCAAGCTAACTAAACTAAATCAACATTTTTTAGATTCTTTGTCTACTATACTTATCTAAAGTTGATGCAATATAGATGACACATTCAATACTAGCTAAATAATATATGTAAGTATAAGTAACTACTACATTATAAATATCTGATTGTTCAATAAACATTAAAGTTACATTTATTAATCAATAAATTATACCTGCAATCATGTCATCCACTGTGCTCATCTTCAGCAGTACCTGCTCAATTAAGCCAACTTCTGTGCTGGTCTGTAAATTACGGACACTTTTACGTAGAATGGCTGTAAACATACTCCAGATTTCTGCTTGGCACGTTACATCACAGTGCTCTAAAAGCTCTGACATACATGTAATGCTTTCTGCATCCTGGATAATAAAGTTCATCTCTAGATCAAATTCTCCACCAACCAGCTAAAAACAAAAGAGAAAAATAGAAGTGTTACAATGTAAACTATATAGGTTTGTTATTGATTAATTGAGTGACAGGTACAACTCCCATGGCTGAATCTTTTTAAGTAGAACAAGCCACCTAATAATTTAGTATAGGCCATAATGGCTTCTTCCCCAGACCTGAAGGAGGTCACTACGGGCTGGAAAGCTTGTCTAATATCCCAACAACACAGCTGGTATCCAATAAAAGATACCACAAAAAAAAAAAAACCTCACTTCTCGCATCTCTTTAGATCCTTGCTTCTATCAGTGTCAAATAGTTTCTGAGTACTGAGGAAGGCAATCATAATAAATGCACTATCAAGACACATGGCTCTGTGGCAAAAGATCTGGAAAACAACTAAAATGGAAGGCAAGGTAGATTTGCACCTTATAGATTAACTACATTAGAACTAAATTATAGCACAAGCTTTAGTGAGCTGTAACTCACAAAAGGACATATTGTGAAAGGATATGCATGGACCAGTTTATAAAATATAGAGAGAGTGAGTTGAATATAAGGTAGAAAGGGAGGGGAAAAGGGGCAGTGCTGGGAGAGGCAAAAAGCAAAGACTACATAGGAACCAAATGAATCACAAAAATTAGTCCACGTAAAGGGATAAGAATCCATAGTCCCTGTTTAAACTACATCTAACAATCCAGTCTATGGATGATTTCTGGTTCCATAATTGCCTATTCAAATATTTTTTAAAGGTTTTCTACTTAAGAAGAGCTATGCTGAGATCAGTAATGGTGGTCCAGGGACTTTAAAATGTTCTGCCACAAGCCTCTGTGTTTTTCTGGAGTTGATGTCAGATCAATGCTCACTCATTCTTTCACATAGAGATTGCCCCATTAATCAAATGTAGACAGCAGAGGGGCACTGTAAGCAGGTGATGGCAGGTATATGACATTGGTAGAGATGCAGGTAAATGAACCTTGGATGTTATAATCCAGGTTATTCGGTCCACTGATGATGTGGTCTCTATCAGTGACAGGGCACAGCAGACATAAGAGTCCACTGCATGGCCTGATGCCTTGCTGAGAATTGGAGTTAGGTTGTCTGTTGCTTGAGAGTTTGAGATTGGGGACCCGTCTGTAAGCCAGGGCAGGTTTGCCCCACATGGCAAACCTGAGATAGTTGCCCTTTTCCAGTAGCTGGAGGTCATTAATGATGTGTCTAAGGTGTTCAAGCTGAGGGCTGTAGGTGACAACCAGGGGGACTCTGGTTCTTGTTCCTGGGTTGGGATGGTAGCAGGTTGGCATGAGGCCTGAGTTTCAGACCTCAGTGGCAACAATTTGGGGACTGTATTGTAACTGTTGGAATTCCTGTTCCAGATCTGCAGTGAGATCAGAGCAGACAGAGTTATAAAAAAGAGTTTGACTGTAGACCATGGAGTTTGTGGTGTACTTAGGATGAGAGCTGATGGTGTGAAGGTAGTGAAGGTCAGTTGGTTTCAAAATAATGTAGCAGCAACACAGTTTGTTGAGTATGTTTTAAACAGGACTACAGATTCTTACCCCATTACACAGATTAGCTTTTGTGAATCCTTTATTCCTAGGGTTCTTTGCCTGTTGCATTTCCCAACATTGCCCACCTCCTAACCCTCCTCCCTTTCTACCTTGTATTCAAATTACTCCCTCCATTTTATGCACTAGTCTGTGCATGACTTTTCACAGCATCTGATGAAGTCAGCTCCAGCTCACAAAAGCTTGTGCTATATAGCTCTAATATAGTTAGTCTACATGATGCAAATCTATCCTGCCTTCTGTTTGATTCAGCTAGCTAACTGCATCTCTCAAACAACTAAAATGACAGAGCAATGTAGTCTGAAAAACCCACCCACCAAGTCATATGGCCACTGAGAACATAAGAAATTACTTCAAATTTTGTCACAATGTTATATAGTACACTTTAAGATATCAAGGATATCTTTGCAATCCTCCTTAGACCAAGTAACAGAATGAGTTGTACTGCCATTCAGAAGAATGGATTTAGAGTAACAGCACCTGTCTGCACTTCTTGGAAAAGAAAAATGTTTTCCCCGAGGACCAAGACACATCTTAAAAATGAACAATTAACTGACCATAAGGTTGCCTAAAAGTGGAAAGTCCAAGCCAGTGAGCTTTCACTCTGAATTAATACTATAGCTAATGGACATGGAGAGTAAAGGAAATAAGTAAATGAAATGGATAACACTTTTCAGTTAGCAAATACAGCTGGAAGAGACTAGATTTACACCCAACCACCAGTACTGCACTACTAAATTTTAAGAGGCAATCACTGAGAGATCAAATCAACTGGATAAAATGTAATCTTTTCAAATATTTTTTTTCCAATTTTATCTGCCATTTTTAATGGCAAGCACCTTCCTTCAGTCCAGAAAGAAAAGAACATTAGCCACATTGCCTAACAACCAGCAACCTTGAAGATCTCTGAAAGGAGAAATACTTTCAGAAACCCCAGACAATCAGAATAACTTATTTCAAAAGTGGCTCATGGTAGCTTTTTTTGCTAATGAATGAAGGCATAACTGAAATGCCAGTGCTAAATATATTTGCATAATTGATTTCTCTTATGATAGTTATATTAACTGTATTTAATCTCAAAGATTGTACGTTAAAAATAAAAGTATTCTACAATAACTTTATGACAACTTCAATTTTCATTGTCTGATCAAGAGGAGAAAGCATTTCCTAAACAGCCTACAGATCACAACTAATTCAGGAGGCAGATATGAAGCATCATGCAAATCACAGGTGTCAAACATATGGTGAAGCCTTTCTATCCAGTTTGGCAGACTACCCGAAGTTGGGGGACATGGCCTACTGCAGAACACTGGGCCCTTTGGCTCCACTGCCCATGACTGTCAGCAGTGCTTGACTTGCTGCCGCAGTTGTCCCTGGTTCCCCCCTGCCACCAGACTGCTTGCAACCTCTGGACCTGCAGCTGCAGTTACCACCATCATCATGGTCACAGGAACCCTCTCTGTTCCCCAAGCTGGATCTGGCCCAAGAGAAACCCCACAGTCCAGATCCAGCCCGAGGCTCCAGGTGCATTTGACACCCCGATGTAAATCTTTTCATATGGGTAGGCCAGCTTGAACGCAAGTATCTTTTTCTTATGGTCGTGATATGCTCAACTACTGCTCCTCAGATCTAACTACTATTGCTAAGTAGGGATCAACTCAGGTTTCCACTCTCACTCAAGAATACATCTTACTTTACCAATAAGTTACTAATAATAACTGATCTAAAATGTTCTAATGCATAGCTCTAAATGTAATAAATACTAAATCAATTGACTACCACTTCAGTCTCTAGAGATGGTCATTTTACATGCAAATCAACCTGTTACTTTGAATGTTGTTACATTTTGGATTTTAGATTCCTGATGAGTTTTAAATGTAAAAGAAAATTCATTACTTCAATTGATTCATTTATACTGGGTACTCTGGGTAATCAAAGTTTTACAATAAAAACAGGAAAAACTTTTAAGGTGAATTTTTTAGTCATGAAATAGTCAAGACAAAAGAATAAAAGTCGTTTTTTGGGAGGTGAGAAATCATGATTCTATTTCAGTAGTAACAACTGCTTTTTCCAGTAACTGTTCTAGAATGGGATAATCTGAAATAATATAAACATTTCATTAACATTCACATTGAAGAAACAGCTTTGATAACATTTAGACTCATTCACATTTTCTCTTCAGTACAAACACTGTTCAACATTCATTCCATTGCAGTTTAGTCTTGCTAGATTCTGGATAGAAGCAGACAGTAGTTAAAGCAGATACAAATAGGAGGCAAATTTCTCACAGTAAGCAATTGCAGACCCATGGGACTTGTGTTAGAGTGCTTCTTCCACAAACCAAAAAAGAAAAAAGGAGTTCTTGCTTTGCTTTTAGCAGAAAGGGCAACAGTATTTCCCAATAACCTTGAATCCCAAACGTATCTTGAAGATTTGCTAGTTATAAAAATCCCAGTATTAGTTCAAAATCTTTTAGACACCAGTATTTTTTAAACAAACTGCATTTAGAAATATTGACAAAGAAGATAATACAAAGTCTTCTATTGGATTATCCAGCACAAGCATTCAGGTTAAAATACTCCCTTCAGATGATATACAGATTACACCTGAAAGTAAGAATTTAAGGGTGAGATTACACATTAGAGTTACCAAGTACAAATTATAAGGGATGTTAGTCTGTGTTAAATTAACTAGTACAAGTGATCAGTCACATGTTAATACTCTAATGTGTACTGCTCAGACCTGCTGCTAGAGGCTGACAAGTAGGGATGTGGCTAGGGGATGTATGTTTGCTCCATACTCGCCAATTCTATAGCCATAGTAGAGGCTGGGGGTTAGAGGGTAAGGGACAGCAGATGGGAAAGAGGTGGGGGGGTGCCACCCCATGCTGTTTGGATCACCCCCTTCCACTCCCCAAATCACCTCACTGACGCACTTCAACCCCCAGATCCCCCTTCCATCCCAGGATCAGTGCCTGGACCCCCGGATCATTCACCTACCCCTGGAGCACTGCCCTGCCATGCCAATCACCCTCAGAGCTACAGTAGCAGCATCAGCAGTGTGGGGTTGGGTCCCCTTCCCTGCCTACTCCTGGGCTCCCTGAAGCCTGTGCTACTCCCACATACCTGAATCCAATCCCCATCAGGCCATGCAGCTGCTTGGCAGCTCCTTTCCCCTCCTCTTTCCTTTTCCCTGCTGCCTCCCCTTCAATTTCAGGGCCTGGCATGGGCTGGACCTGGGCTCACAGGGACAGAGCGGTCTGCAGAGACCCCAAAAGCAGGTCAGAAAAGGGGAACCCCCCCAACACCTGTGTTGCTCTCAGGCTTACTTGGGTGACAAGGCAATGATCCAGAAGTGGAGGGGTTGATGGGAGTAGAGGGGGCAATTGGGATGGCAAGAGAGCAATCTGCGAGTGGAGGATACAGTTTGAAGGTCAGGAGGCAATTTGTGGA